CCTCCAGGGGGACTCAGAAAGCTGTCTTGGCCACAAGCCCTTTGCTCTTGGTGAGATGAGCAGGGCACAGTGCTACACCATAACCCTTCTTCCCAGCCTGAACGCTATCACAGCGCTCCCTTTTGAGCTGCTTTCAAAGCAGAGCTGAGAGACAGTGTAGAAAGCGGGCAGCAGAGTCAGCTGTTACAAACTCCATGTCTAGGAAACAAATCCCAAGCTATTGGGAAGGCCAGTCTGCGCAGTGGGCTGTTGATAAGTTGTGAGTTCAGCAACAACACCCTGGACACTTCTGTGTTGAACTACAGTTATTTATTATTATAATTCTCTAGACTCATCTCCAGGGTGGAACTTAACAGTTGTCCTCAGTAGATGTATGTAGAACTTCTACTTGCTCTGCCTCTGACTTGACCCAGCCCAGTCCTGTGGAGAGACAGAAACCAAGAAAGCCTCTGGTTCCTCATGGCAGAGAACATGGAGTCCCTGGTGCTGCAAAACTGCCACAAGCAAACTGAGCCATGAAGTGCTGAACATGAGGCTTTGGCCTTCAAGGGACACTGCAAGGAAAACAATAAGACACAACAGCTGTCTAGCACCATACATGCAAAGGCAGGGGCAGGGGTCATACCCACTGTCTGGCTTAGCACTATTGGGCATGACGGCACTTTTATTCTGGTGTCTACAGATGAGGTTGAAGTTCCTAGTAGGTCCAGATGTTTGAAAATACTGGTTAAGCATGTAAGAGAGATCTCTGTCCTGAAACCCTCAGGTTTTCTTCTTTCTTTCCAGGACTGGATCTGTTCAAATTTCCAGGGCCCTTTCTGGACAGGCCTTAATGACCAGACACACGAATCTGTATTTCAGTGGACCACGCAAGATCCCATCAGCAGGCAACTCACAGAGTGAGTGCATTGTCTTGCATGACACTTGTTGCCATGACCAGGAAGCTTTTGTGCCAGGGCCTGTGTGAATCTGGTCTTGTCTCAGGGACATATAAATGATCTGGCAGGGAAGGAAAGAAATTGTTTCATTTGACCCCAAATATATTTTTTATATTTTTCCAAAAACAGACAAAATATTGCAATGTTAGGCTGATCTGAAACTTACTTTTCCAATACCTTTGTTTGGGAATTGAGTCCAAAATGCCAGATAACCACGCAGCTCTGTTTAATGGAGGTATCTCTCCAAGAAGCAAACATTACACTTCTTTGTGTCACACTGAGTGCAGTGAAGGCTACAGGATGGTTGGTTGGTGTATGTGTGTGGGGGGTGGGGGAGAGGGGGTGGAGAAGTTGGGGGATCTCTCTGGTGGTGCTGTGAGTAGTATGTGATACTCAGCAGGGATGAGAGCCAGGGCAAACTCTTCCTTAGCTCAGGGTGCTGGTGACTTGCACACAGCAGTGGCTGCAGTCTGTACCCCCTGCAGAGGTGGCCTGCAGCACTCCCTGAAGGCAATGGGAGTTTTACCTCTGAGCTCACCCAGGAGCTGTCCTAGGCCCAGAGTGCTTGCACAGAACAGGGAGCATAGGACTTGTAGATCTGCCCCCCTCTGTGATCTGTGCTACTTGCACAAGACTTCTTCTTTGCCAAGTGCTGGCCACAGGGACTGGCCCCTGAGCCTGGGTCTTCCTCTTGCTACCTACTGCCAGGGAGGTGGCATTGAGAGTCTGTTTCTGTGCCCTGTGCACGCTCTGGAGTGGTTAGATGTATCCCACTTGGCCCAGATGGTGGCATGCCTGACTCAGAGCTGCTGTTGTCTCACATTTGGGAAGGGCCAGAAGTGCCCAAGGGTGAGCTCTGCTCTGGTACTTGCACTGTTTGAACTGCCAGCTTCAGCCCAGCTGCCCTCCCTGTTTAAAGGGTGAGTTCACCATTTTGCCACATGGTGGCAGCCAAAATAAAAAAGTCACCCCTGGGAAGAACAGCTGAGCAGGCTCTAGTCTGGATGAGTAGGCTGTCAGTGTGCTGCTCCTGGCTGGATTGGGAGCCTCTGGGGCAGTCAGAGGGAGCCCTGCACAGCCTCCTGCCTCAGTTAGCAATTGCAGAGATGAGGTGTTGGTGCAGATACTCAGCCATGATGCTGGGGGCACATTGTGCCCATCTGGCCTTGGTGTCATCAAGGGTGAAGACAAGCCAGGACTTCCAGAGAGTTCCCACCATAGTACCCCAAGGAGAAGGGTCTTGCAGTAGGGAGCTTGCACAACAGGTGCTCACAAGGAGGAAATGGCAGGGAGAACTGGGTACAGGGGACAATTCCCAGTGCACAGAATATGTTAGCCCAGTCTTGATGTTGCCCAGTGCTTGAGACACCATGGCAGTAACTGCTTCTCCTCTGTGTTTTGGGGAAGGCACCTGAGAGATGACCTGGCTGATGGTGGCCAGAAGGATTGCGTGTGGCTGGACACAGGGACTGGACTTCTGAGGGATGCACGCTGTGAGGAGAGGAAGCCATTCATCTGCAAGTGCAATGAGGGTAAGGGACTTGCTGATGCCTGTTAGAGAGGGGCTGTGGACCTCCCCTCCTGCCACACCCAGCCCTTTGTTTAACCCCAAAGCAGGTGCTGCCTAGGCTCTCACTGTGCTGGCTTCCCCTCTACCTGCTACCTCCCATGCCAGTGGAGAGGTCATCTCCAGAACCAAAAAAGGAGTCAGTTCTCTTTAGCCTGTTCCATCTTCAGGGCCCAGTGCAGCGTCCTCTGCAGTTTGGGTTTTGTGAAGCGTTCAGCTGAGAACTGGGCTGAGATACTTCCAAGTCATTTAAACCAACGTTTCTCAACCTGTGAGTCACAATCCAAAAGTGGGTCACAAGAATATATGGAAGGGTCATGAACAATCACAGAAAAACTTGGAAAATCACAGATTTTCTCCTTTTAAAGGAGAAAAATGTGGGAAACCACAAGTTTTCCCTTGCAGACTGGCAGGAGGCTAGCTACTTAAACTATTTACTGGGCTGGGAGTGACCATCGATGTTTACAAATGGGTCCAGGTACAAAAAACATTGAGAACCATTGATTTAAACCAATGGTGGTCTCCTGGCCCAGAGTACATTTCACAGCCTTTCTACTGAGGACTCTCTTGTTAAGGCTGTGTTTGTGTCAGGTCTCATGGAGGGCCTGTGGCCAGAGAAGCAATGCTGGGCTGGCTTGGGGGTGAAGCAGCTCTCACCTTGTTTCCAGGATACACTAAAATGGAGCCACCTGGCTTGAAATGCCTTCTAGGTCTTGCAGGAATCTCCTGCCTTGTGACCTCCACTCTGATGGCTATGAGAATGTGAGTGGTTCACCTGAGTTACTCCTGCAGGTCTCTCACCCTCTCCGGGCCTCTTGGGAGCCTCTCCTGACCAAGACCCTCGACTTTAAAGGACTGAAGTATTCAGAACCTCTCCTGAACCAACTGGGTGTGGGGAGGTTGGAGGCGATCCTGTCCAGTTAATAAGCAGATTTGTGATTTGGCCTAATTTTATAGTTATCTCATTTGTAACTGCCTTTTCATTAGACATTTCTAATATACATCTCCATGCTACTATTAATTCGGTTATTAACACTATGCAACTATTAATATTGGTTTGGATGAAAAACAGTCCCTGCCCAAGGCCATTTTCGACAACTTAGTTCCTGTTCATCTCCTTTTCATCTCCTCTTAATTGTAATTTCCCAAGTAATTAGGGCCTATAGGCAAATGATTAAATGTGGGCACAGACTTGCCAGCCCATCATTCCTCTTTCTTAGCAGTGCCAGGAAATAGAGTTTGGATCCTTGTTCCCCTGGCCCCTTTCCCAGAGGATGTCATTACTCTTTGCCAAACTCCAGCAATGCAAAATACTGATGAGGATAGGTCTAGCTAGGGGAGGAGAATGAGATGAGATGACAGCAGCAGGGAATCTGCATGGAAGTAGAGCTCCAAAATGTGCTGTATTTTGAAGGAGGATGGCAGAGTTTGAAGCTGACCATTCCCCAAGGGCAGGAGTGGCCAGCCTACAGCAAGTGGTATGGGCCACCTCTGTGTGTGGCATGTGGTAGACCGGGGAGGAGACAGCCAGCACAGTGGCAGGTGGAGCAGGGAGCAGAAGGCAGAGCAGCTAACTGGGCAGGGGATGAGGATGGGAGTGGCACTTGGGGAGGGCGTGGGGCTAGTTTATGCCACACCTGCCTAAAAGGCTGGCTCCCAGTGCCTTAGGGGCCCCCAGGGATGCTAATCCAATCTGAATGGGCTGGACATCATCTCCCCAAAGAGCCAAGTTCCTTTTTGATCTCACATTCCCATTGCTACTTTAATGCTTCTCCATAGCTTTTGAAAGTCAAGTGTTTTGTGAACTTTTATGTCCCTCCCTTTCCCCCCCACAGTTATGGTAGTATCTGAGCCCCTCACAGCCCAATTCCTGTTGAGGAGGGTGGCAGGGCTGTTATTCCCATTGCGCAGACATGGAACTGAGCCACAAAGAAGTTAAGTCCTACATCCACAAAACAGACTTTGGTACTGAACAGTGTCACATCTGCTTGTAGGCCCCCTGCTTAAGGGAACTTCCAGCCCTGAACGAATAGCTGGTCTTCCTAGACACTGCATGGGAAAAGCTGGGTGTCCAGCTTTGGCACCCAGAAAAAACAGAGTGTTTAAGGAAGGGGCTGAAGGGAAAGCGTTAAGATTCTAACATCACAAGGGGACATCCTGGCAGACAGGATTCACAGCCCTGAGCCTTCTCCTATTAGGCCCCCTACTCCAGTCCTTCCTCACACAGAACAGTTGAAGGGAAAAGTTAGTTGTCACCCACCTTTTTCCCCATAAACCCATGGGTTAGAATACTTCCAGGCCTCAGGAGGCTCATTAAAGTTACTCCTCTGTCTATTGAGGCTGAACTATCTCTCTCTGCCCTCCCAGGAAAGTCTCCTATCCACCAGGCAAAGAGATTATCTGGGGGTGGGACCCCTCAGTCTCAAGATGAAGCCATTTGTGAATTACTGAAATCTCCATTGGCCTGGGCTGGGGAGAGAGTAAGACTTTCTCTCTGTCTTAATGGTTACAACACTCACTTGTATGGGGGAGACCTAGCTTCCAGTCCATATTCCTGTGGATATTTAAGTGTTTTGTACCAAGTTCAATAGCTCCAACAGGACAGATGGATATAGCCACATCCCATCCACTAATCAGTGGCAGGGAGGACTCTGCTGTGTGCGGTGGATTCACATCCCTGTTAGATAGTAGATGGTTTGGAATTTGGATATCCTGTGGTGGGGTGAGTACATGCTCAAGTCCAGGAGCTACTGAGTAAAAGAAGGCAGCCCCTCTTTTGGCAGCTGTTTTGTGTGGGGTCCAATTCAGTAGAAGTGTTCTGAGGATATCTCCCTACCACGCAAGGTTTCAGGGCAGGGAAGTTTCTAGTTGATGGATCATTGCAGGTGGTGGTGGTGGTGGTAGTAGTGGTGATGAAGCAAGTGTCACCACGCTCATATGGCAGAGGCATAAGGGCCAGAAAGCCAGCAACAGGTAGAATAATCAATGTCAATAAGACCTTGGGCACCTGAAGAAGGGCCATGAGGACATTCATAGATGGTGTGGTAGGCTGTTTGAGTTTGAGTACCACAGCTGCAACCAGTGTCATTGGAGAGGCCCCTAGAATGCAAGCTTACTTTAAACCATCCAGTGCCTATTCTGAGACAGTTAAGAGCAATCCAGGTCCTGAGGAGCAGAAGCTGGTATGGGGGTGAAGTTCTTTAGCTGCAGTTCTTGTGCAGCCTTTTTTCTGCTCCACTGATGGGAAGTCCATGCTGTGGGTGACATGCCAGCTGCAAATTCGATGAGCTTATTGGCCTAAGTGAAGAATGGGTTCCAAGACTTCAGATGATAGTTGTTTTTTCTGACTTGAGACTACTAAGCCAGAGTGCAGAGAATGGTTCAGATTTTGAGTGTTGAGGCCTAGGGCCAGGGTGGCAGCTTGTCTCTGGATGTCAGGGGATGGACTGCCTGAGAGGACTGGTAAGCAGTCAAATGGAGTTGGCATAAGGCATCCAGTGATGGTCCTCATGACGCTGTTAAGGCTGGAGTCCACTACCTTAGAGTGTGTGCTTTGGCCCCATACTGGTGCACAGTACTCAGCAGGAGCATACACAAGTGCCAAAGTGAGGTGTATAGTGTTTGAAGACTTGCTCCCCAGGTGGTGCTAGCAAGGTGATGAATAAGAGTTCCTCTGCTATTAACCTTACCCTGGACCCCTTCCAGATACTGGCAGTAGGTAAGAGTCCAATCCAACTTGACAGTTGGGACCCAGCTCTGGAGCGAGATGCATGGGTGTAAGCCTGTCACGCCCCTGTGAGCTCGGGCCCTGGCAAACCCTCAGCAGACCCCAATCCTGACCCCAGCATGAGCTAGGAGGTAAGTGGGGCCCATGGTGGGTGGGCACTAGCTAGTGAGGCAGCTGAGTGGAACTGAGGAGGGTCACAGCCCCCATGGTTCCTACTTAGATTAGCCCCTAGGGAGCTCCGCGAACAGAGCACACAAACAGGCATGCTCTAGGCCCGGTGCACAAGTTAGCACATGAGTTCATGTGGCAGGGCAAGCAAGAGGGGCACAAAGCTCTAGGTGGCGAGCCTGAAGGGAGAGGGCAGTACAACAGTAGCCTGGGCTGCTACCTACACGATGATGGTGATGTGCCATACCCCAGAGATCCTCCCCACCCCTGCATCTGGAGCCCTCCCTCTTGTGCCACTGAGGCCTCTACCCAGATGGAGCCCCTGGCTCTCGGCTGTGGGAGCTGCCTGTCACGTATGCAGGCGTCTGGGACCAGGAGCAGGTATACCTCCCCTTGTGGGGTGTGCTACACATTAGAGTCCCTGGAGTGCCAGATAGCGGAGCTCTAGGCTGCGGTGCAGAGGCTGTGTGCCATCAGGGATGGCGAAGAGGTGATCAATACCTACCACTAGGCCCTTTGCAGAAAGAATGAAGAGGGAGGAGCAAGGAAGGCTAGCAGGACGAGGGTGTGTAGGAGGAGTCCCCATGAAGCCCAGCTGGGGGTCACTTGGACAAAAGTTGTCTCTGGCCCCAAGCCACCCTGCACCAGGGTCACCACCCCCCTGGAACTAAACAACAGATATGAACCCATCACAGCACCAGTTGAGCTACCAGCTCCTTCACTAGAGGAAGAAAGGCAACTTGTAACCACTCCAAAGAAGAAATGCAGAGTGATCATCATGGGTGGCTCCCTGACAGAAGGAGCACAAGTGAAGTCCATCCCAACCCATAGAAAAGGTAGCAAAAGGGCTGGGCGACCCCCGTGGCTAAACAGGGGAATCATGGACCTCCTGCATCTGAAAAGAGAAATCTATAAGGGTTAGAAGTCAGGTAACATCACCAAAGAGGATTATTCAGCACTGGCCCACACCTGTAGGGAGCAAACCAGGAAAGCCAAGGTCAAAACTGAACTCAAATTGACTGCGGGAATCAAGTTCAACAAAAAGTCCTTCTTTAGATATGTGG